AAATCTAGCAGATGAAACCACCATATGCCATGCACTACAGAATCTCATTCCAAGAACATAATTTTTTTTTCTTTTTTGAGAGAGGGTCTCAAGTCTGTTGCCCAGACTGGAGTACAATGGCATAATCTCGGCTCAGCACAACCTCCATCTCCCAGGTTTAAGCGATTCTTCTGCCTCTGCCTCCCGAGTAGCTGGGATTACAGGTGCATACCACTACCACCCGGCTAATTTTTTTGTATTTTTAGTAGACACAGGGTTTCACCATGTTGACCAGGCTGGTCTTGAACTCCTTACTTCAAATGATCCACCTTCCTTGGCCTTCCAAAGTGCTGGGATTATAGGTGTGAGCCACCGTGGCCGGCCCCAAGTATATAATTTTTAAATTAGTGATATTTTAAATTTTTTGACCAATTCCATAGTTTAACTGCTTCCAATTGTGTACACACTAAAACAATTTCCCAGTGTAATTTATTTTTCTAGTACACATAACCAAGTCTCTAGAATTTATTAATATCACTCCTAAAGGCCAAACACTTAACTGTATAGTAAAATTTTGGATTTAAAGGCAGATTCTTATCTAAAAATGGGAAAATGTAAACTTTACTAGTAAAAGATAAATGAGACTTGAATATATATAAAAAAGAAACAAGACCAGGCACAGTGGCTCATGTCTTTGATCCCAGCACTTTGGGAGGCTCAGGCAAGAGGATCACTTGAGGCCAGGAATTCAAGACCAGCCTAGAGGCTAGGCGTGGCAACTAAGGCCTGTAAATCTCAATACTTTGGAAGCCGAAACCAGCCTGGGCAAGACAGTGAGACCCCATCTCTACCAAAAAAAAAAAAAAGACCAGCCTCAGCAACATACTGAGACTCCATCTCTAAAAAATAAAATAATTAAGATGGGTGTAGTGACACATGCCTGTAGCCCCAGATGTTTGGGAGGCTAAAGCAGAAAGATTACTTGAGCCCAGGAGTTTGGAGATTCAGTGAGCTATAACTGAGTCACTGCACCCCAGCCTGGGCAAGGATCAAGACCCTGAGGAAGAAAGGAAAGGGAGGAAGGGAAGGAGGGAAGGGAAGGAGGAAGGGAAGGGAAGGGAAGGAGGGAGGGAGGAAGGAAGGAAGGAAGGAAAGGAGACAATAAAAATTATTACCCTTTTCTATTAAATTTAGAAATATTTTCAAAAAGATTTACTGCTGACCCGGGAGTTCAGTCATTTACATAAAATTGTTTGCTTTTAAAAAATCATGGCCAGGCATGGTGGCTCACGCCCATAAAACTAGCACTTTGGAAGGCCCAGGCAGGCAGATCGCTTGAGCTCACAAGTTTGAGACCAGCCTGGACAATAGGGCAGGACCCCATCTCTACAAAAAATACAGTTAGTGGGGCATGGTGGTGCTGCCTATAGTCCCAGCTACTCAGGAGGCTGAGGTGGGAGGATGGCTTGAGCCTGGGAGGCAGATTGCAGTGAGTCAAGATGGAGCTACTAAATTCTAGCCTGGGCATTATAGCCAGTTTGTCTTAAAAAAAAAAAAAAAAAAATATGAATCTGAAGGCCGGGAGCTGTGGCTCACACCTGTAATCCCAGCACTTTGGGAGGCCGAGGCGGGCGGATCATGAGGTCAGGAAATCAAGACCATCCTGGCAAACACGGTGAAACCCCGTCTCTACTAAAAAATACAAAAAATTAGCCGGCCGTGGTGGTGGTCACCTGTAGTCCCAGCTACTTGCGAGGCTAAGGCAGGAGAATGGTGTGAACCCGGGAGGCGGAGCTTGCAGTGGGCGGAGACCTCGCCACTGCACTCCAGCCTAGGCGACAGAGCGAGACTCCGTCTCAAAAAAAAGAATCTGAAGACCGGAACCACATAAAGAAAAGGGAAATGCTTAGTATACAACATTAAGTGAAACAAGGAAAACTTTTTTTTTTTTTTGAGGCGGAGTCTCACTCTGTAGCCCAAGCTGGAGTGCAATGGCGCGATCTCGGCTCACTGCAAGCTCCGCCTCCCGGGTTCATGCCATTCTCCTCCCTCAGCCTCCCAAGTAGCTGGGACTACAGGTGCCCGCTAATTTTTTGTATTTTTAGTGGAGACGGGGTTTCAGCGTGTCAGCCAGGATGGTCACTATCTCCTGACCTCGTGATCCGCCTGCCTCGGCCTCCCAAAGTGGTGGGATTACAGACTGCGCCACCGCACCCGGCCCCAACAAAATTTTTAACAAAATAGGTACAGGGGAAAAGAACAGCAAGAAATAACACAAAAATGTAATATGTTTTTCTAGAATGATGAAATTATTGGTACTTTATATTTCCCATAACAAAATTATTACATCTGCAAATAAATTAAGAAGAAATGAAAAGGCTGGGCGTGGTGGCTCACGCCTGTAATCCCAGCTACTCCGGAGGCTAAGGCAGAAGAATGGCTTGAACCTGGGAGGCAGAAGTTGCAGTGAGCCGAATTTGCACTGCTCACTCCAGCCTGGACGACAGAGTGAGACGATCTCAAAAAAAAAAAAAAATTAAAAATGTAAACTCCATTATTTTTTACAAATTAACATAATATTCGGAAAAGTATGCCACATTTTCAGACTATTTGATACTAAGGGAAGTGGCTCAATATGTTGAACAGGAACTAAAAATAGTATAATACTTTTTTTTTTAACTGTTAAAATGCAAAAAGGTGTTAAGAGATGACTATATAAACAAACAAGTTTGAGTCTTGTTTGAATCACTCATCAGGGAAGGACTCTAAAAATACATAGAACCTTTTAATAAACCCCATCAATTTCTATTTGAAGCTTCTTTTTTAATTCAACTAAATATAAAATTATTCCCTTAAACTCTGCCACCAAACATCAAGGTACCTGATGTTAGCTGTAAACACTGAAGGTAAATTACCTGGGGGGAAAAATTGCCAAAGGGCCATCCCAAGATACTTCTGCTGTTTGATTATGAACCTTTTAAACAATAGATTACATACACTCAAAATAATTTAGGAAACTTGCCTGCCTGTCTCACAGGTAAATCCAGCTGTTCCGACATAGTAATCTGGAGCAGTGTTGAGACAAAATTCAGAGACTTGTGTGCCTACAAAGAAAAAAAGTCCATTTTAAATTTCTGCAAATAAGTGTACTTTAAAATAACAGATCAAAGAGGCTTCAATACTTTTCCATTGCTTGGCTCACACAAAAGGCTCTTCATAACCGGTTCCAGCCTTATTTCTCATCACTCCCTTATACTGAACTTTAAGGAATTTAATGACTTAAATCCTAAAACTTTTTGGATGTCTGCATTTGCCTGTATACCACTGCACTTCCCATTTATCCCAACTAGCATTCTTTTTTCTTTAATTTTTGAGACGGAGTCTGACTCTGTCGCCCAGGTTGGAGTGCAGTGACACAATCTCGGCTCACTGCAACCTTTGCCTCCCAGGTTCAAGCAATTCTCCTGTCTTAGCCTCCAGAGTAGCTGAGACTACAGGTGTGCATGACCATACCTGGCTAATTTTTTGTTTTGTTTTGTGAGACAGAGTCTCACTCTGCCACCCCCAAGGCCTGAGTGGAGTGGCGCAATCTCCGCTCGCTGCAACCTCCACCTCCTGGGTCCAAGCGATTCTCCTGCCTCAGCCTCCTGAGTAGCTGGGACTAGTGCCACCGTACCCAGCTAATTTTTTGTATTTTTTTAGTAGAGATGGGGTTTCACTATATTGGCCAGGTTGGTCTCGAACTCCTGACCTTGTGATCTGCCTGCCTTGGCCTCCCAAAGTGCAGGGATTACAGGTGTGAGCCACTGTGCCCGGCCCTAATTTTTTATATTTTTAGTAGAGTTGGAGTTTCACCATATTGGCCAGGCTGGTCTCGAACTCCTGACCTTGTGATCTGCCTGCCTTGGCCTCCCAAAGTGCAGGGATTACAGGTGTGAGCCACTGTGCCCGGCCCTAATTTTTTATATTTTTAGTAGAGTTGGAGTTTCACCATATTGGCCAGGCTGGTCTCGAACTCCTGACCTTGTGATCTGCCTGCCTTGGCCTCCCAAAGTGCAGGGATTACAGGTGTGAGCCACTGTGCCCGGCCCTAATTTTTTATATTTTTAGTAGAGTTGGAGTTTCACCATATTGGCCAGGCTGGTCTCGAACTCCTGACCTTGTGATCTGCCTGCCTTGGCCTCCCAAAGTGCAGGGATTACAGGTGTGAGCCACTGTGCCCGGCCCTAATTTTTTATATTTTTAGTAGAGTTGGAGTTTCACCATATTGGCCAGGCTGGTCTTGAACTCCTGACTGTGTGATCTGCCGCCTTGGCCTCCCAAAGTGTTGGGATTACAGGCATAAGCCACCATGCCAGGCCCTCCAACTAGCATTCTTAACCTACACTGGTGACAGCAGCTCAATAACAATATCCTCTGTGATACCTGTTTCCTCTTTCAAGTAATTTCTCCATAGAAACATTTCATTAAATGGCCAGACACATACGAAATCAATAAAAATGAACAGTTTGGTCCAGGCATGGTGGCTCTGGGAGGCCGAGGCGGGCGGATTGCCATGAATAGTTTGGGGGTAGTTTCCAAGGTGGTGATAGTGTTATTTCTTGATATGACTGCTGTTTTATACAAGTGTGCTCAGTTTGTGAAAACTGACTGTACCTTTATGATCACCTTTGTGTATACATGTTACATTTCAAAAGAAAGTTAAAAATCAATAGCTTTGAACATACAATAAAAGAATACAGACTATATAATCATAATGTAATAAATACATTTATATGAATATGCAATAGAATTTCGCACATTTTAAATTTTTTAAATTTTCCACATTTTACATTATAGACCTGGATCACTTTCATTAACAGTACAAAAAGGTTACATATTCCTAAATTTGTCATATTTGCTTCTGATTTTTTTTTTTTTTATTTTTTGTTTGCTTTGTTGTTGTTAGAGATCAGGTCTCGCTATGTTGCCCAGGCTGGTCCTAAACTGCTGGGCTAGGCTCAAGAGCTCCTGCCTTAGTCTTCTAAAGTACTGGGATCACAGGCGTGAGCCACCACACCTAGCCTGCTTCTCATTTAAAGAACTGAACATTTTATCTTGAAATGGTGGGCAAAACAATCTTTTTAAAATGAACATTCAAGTTAAATCTCTTCTTGTATATTTTCTCAGTTTCATTCTCCTTTGTCCCAATATAACCACCACTTACAATGTCATCTTTTAGCTCAATGTTCACATGAACAATATTCTGGTCTGTATTTTAGTATATTCTTTTGTATGTTTGTTTTTTGAGACGGAATTTCACTCTTATCACCCAGGCTGGAGTGCAATGGTGCAATCTCGGCTCACTGCAACCTCCGCCTACCAGGTTCAAGCGATTCTCCTGCCTCAACCTCCAGAGTAGCTGGGATTACAGCACGCCCAGCTAATTTTTTGTTTTTTTAGTAGAGACGGGGTTTCGCCATGTTGGCCAGGCTAGTCTCAAACTTCTGACTGCAGGTGATCCACCCGCCTCGGCCTCCCAAAGTGCTGGGATTACAAGCATGAATGAGCTACCCGTTCCCAGCTATTTTAGTATCTTCTTACAGACTTTACCCCATTCTGCAAACACATTCTTTTTTTTTTTTTTTTGAGACGGAGTCTCGCTCTGTCGCCCAGGCTGGAGTGCAGTGGCCAGATCTCAGCTCACTGCAAGCTCCGCCTCCCGGGTTCCCGCCATTCTCCTGCCTCAGCCTCCCGAGTAGCTGGGACTACAGGCGCCGCCACCTCGCCCGGCTAGTTTTTTGTGTTTTTAGTAGAGACGGGGTTTCGCCGTGTTAGCCAGGATGGTCTCGATCTCCTGACCTCGTGATCCGCCCATCTCGGCCTCCCAAAGTGCTGGGATTACAGGCTTGAGCCACCGCGCCCGGCCTGCAAACACATTCTTATAGAGAATTTTCCAGCTGGGTGCAGTGGCTCATGCCTGTAATCCCAGCACTTTGGGAGGCTGAGGTGGGCAGATCACTTGAGTCCAGAAGTTCGAGACCAGCCTGACCAAAATGGTGAAACCCCATCTCTACCAAAAATACAAAAATTAGCCAAGCGCATGCCTGTAACCCCAGCTACATGGGAGGTTGAAGTATGAGAATGGCTTGAACCCCAGAGGCAGAGGTTGCATCGAGCACTGTACTCTATCCAGCCTGGGTAACAGAGGCTCTGTCTCAAGAAAAAAAGGAAAAAAAAACAAACAAAAAAACCACACAAAGACTGGGTGCAGTGGCTCACGTCTGAAATCACAGCACTTTGGAAGGCTGAGGTGGCTGGATCACTTGAGGCCAGGAGTTCAAGACCAGCCTAGCCAACAAGGTGAAACACCATCTCTACTAAAAATACAAAAATCAGACCGGGTGCGGAGGATCATGCCTGTAATCCCAGCACTTTGGGAAGCCACGGTGGGCGGATCACTTGAGTTCAAGCCTAGCCTGGCCAGCATGGTGGAACACTGTCTCTAATAAAAATACAAAAATTAGCCGAGTGTGGTGGCGCATGCCTGTAATCCCAGCTACTCAGGAGGCTGAGGCAGGAGAATCACCTGAACCCGGGATGCAGAGGTTGCAGTGAGCTAAGATCCCGCTATCGTACTCCAGCCTGGGCGACAGAGTGAGACTGTGTCTCAGAAAAAAAAAAAAAAAAAAAAGCCGGGCATGGTGGCTCATGCCTGTAATTCTAACACTTTGGGAGGCCAAGGCAGGTAGATCACCTGAGGTCAGGAGTTTGAGACCAGCCTGACCAACATGGCAAAACCCCATCTCTATTAAAAATACAAAAATTAGCCAGGCTTGGTGGCGGGCACCTGTAATCCCAGCTACTCAGGAAGCTGAGGCACAAGAATGGCTTGAACTTAGGGGGCGGAGGTTGCGGTAAGCCGAGATAGCGCCACTTCACTCCAGCCTAGTCAAAAGAGCGAGACTCTGTCTTAAAAAAAAAAAAATTTTCCTTTGAATATAAAAAATGGTTTCACATTAGAATCTAGAATCTAGAATCTTTATTCTTTCAATCACTCCAAAAATTACTTATTTAGGTGTTTGTGGTATAAGACATTATGCCAGGAGCTGAGACTACAGGGTTGAATGTGACAACCAGGCTCTATGACCTCATAGCAACTTACAGTGTTGTCAAGAAATACAAGATAATCAAACAGATAATTGCAATAAAGTACAATCGGATACAATTGCAATAAAATACAGTCGGCGCCCCCATACCTGTGGGTTCCAAATCCATGAATTCAACCAACCACAGATGAAAAATATTTGGGGGAAAAATTTTTAAATAACAATACAATAAAAATAATACAAACTTAATAATACAAGTACAGCAACTATTTACATAGCATTTACATTGCATTGGGTATTAAAAGCAATCTAGAAATGATTTAAAGTGTTCAGGGGGAAGTGCACAGGTTATAAGCAAATACTACACCATATAAGGGACTTCAGCATCCATGAATTTTGGTATCCGTGGGGGTCCTGGAACCAATCCCTCATAGTTACCAAAGGAAAAGTGTGTAATGGAAGAAGTAGCAGTATGGAAGAATCAAAAGGAGGATCGCCTAATACAGAAGACCTGAACAGAAGGAGTTAGGTGGATGAAAAGGAGGTATTGACCCTTTTCACTACCCTAGATGTGAAGACTACCAACACTATCACTTTACTTAAACACCCTTCCACCTATGCCATTCAGCATACCATTTTTTCTGGTCTCTTTCTCAGGCTCCTTTACTGATTTCTCATCCTGTTTAATCTATAAATGCTAGAATTCACCAGGACTTGGTCATAGGCCATCTTTCTTCTTCCCAGATGATCTCATCCAATCACTACCTTTACAAAGCATAATTTTCCCCTCAAAATTATTACTCTACTTCCCTGTACCACTTCTTCCAACCTCTCATCACTATCCTCACAGTAATCCTCACCACTTTCCTCTTCATCAACCCAATTTAATATATCAAGTCCTGTCAATTCTATATCCAAAATCCTTCTTTAAAATGTATCCATTTTCTTCATTCCCATGAACACCAACCTAGTCCAAGTGACTATCATCCCTCTTAACTATTTGTGCCCCAATCATT